TTATCTTGAAACCTATATTAATTTCTACCACATTTGATCGTGACTTAATAATATTTCAACTCCAAATACAAATTGTATGTACATAGATATTATTTATTGATATGAATTTATATACTGAAAAATAATATGATATTTTCGTGAAGTATTCATAATAAAACAAATAAGTAAGTAATTTTCTTATTAATGATAATTCAGTTCATTATGCCAATTTTTTGTGACAGATGTGCTTAAGTTCATTTGGTAATTTAGGAACAGGGTTCAGACAAGCATTTGGAAGGGTAAATTACCTGGCGCCCACAATAAAAATTTAACTTGCATATTTCCCCCACTCCCATCTTCACTCAGTTTGCCGGAGCCGAATTCTTGGGCTGTCACAGTGACTACCCAACACTGTAGCGTGATCGAGCGTTACAATCGTCATCATCATGAATGACTTACAAAACTCGCCGTATCACAATTTTGGATTCACTTCCACCGAAATAAGTAGTAATTTTCTTTGAATTTCAACTTGACTACAATAACGTTTCCAAATGTATTATCCCCAATTATTAACGAGTATACCTTCTCTAGTTCTCCTACTTTCTCCATTTTGTCAAAACTTCTCATATGAATCAAAGAGTCACTCACGTCCAGCTGCATTATAATCTTGTTGTAGGCCCACAACCATCTCTGTTGTGCGGTTATCTGCGGCCTCTGCTCCTTCTGCTCGTCCTCTTTCTGCAGAATCGTCTCTGGTATCTCGGGAATGGTTGCCTGTAGATCTGCTGTAGCTTCTGCGCTCTTGTCGGGGGTGCTAGGCGATTGCCTGACTGATAGACGCCTCGTAGAGATGGAGTCCGACCCGTTTTTGAGTGAATAGTTCAGGAACTGGTCTTCGTAGTTCTGGTACGCCGTTTCGGCTCCAGAAGACCTCCTGGAGGAAACGCTCGGTGGTTGCGTGGAACGCTGCAAAGCTGGGTGATAAGGATCGACTACGCTGACGAGGGATGACTCTCTACTACGCGTCTTCTGGTCATCCTCTCGATTTTCTACGTGTATCACAGATAATGGGGAATCGTGTTTTATTGCTTGGTTACCGCAACCTGCGTTTGGACCTGTAACATATTGAAATTGCCTGTAAGAATGAATTTTGCTGGAGAAATATGGGATCGATATTACAATGAATAGAAAAATAGAACAACAGTTTGAGAAGTTAAAAAATACTTCACAAAATATGCCTTTGCAAAGCACATGTTGCATTGTGGCATGAAATTGGAAAAAGGATATTTATGCTCTGTTTCCAGATAGTTGAGATTAATGAATGCTCATCATAAATGCAAAACGCTAGACTGCTCAAACAGAAATTTGTGATTTCGTTATGAATTGTGACAGCACGTATAGACGGATTTATAATACGTTACCGAGACAACCTTATTTTTGTAACGCCAACAGGTCGCAGAGAAAACATTGTATGATCGTTCAGGCCGTTTCATGACCTGCAGTGGCGTGCGTTTGGGTATTTGATCAAAAATACCCAAAAATGAACTATGTTCATTTGGTTATACATAATCAATATTGTCATGATCATATTCACATAATAATAAATAAGTATGCTTATTTAAGAAAAAATTGAATATTTGACTATCGGTCATCAATTAATGAAATCAGAGTTTTCCAATGTCCTAATTATATCTTCATGAATTTTCAGTATGTTCAATATCTGTTTAGAAAAATTCAGTCCCACACAACCGAACTTGGTATTGGAGAATCCTGTTTTCCACATTTTTCACCTATTACAAACTAACAATAATGAAGGTTCATTCCATCACACAGATCAAAATTATAGAATAAAAATTCAAGTGGTAGGATATTCCATATTTAATTGTCTATAGTTTTCTGTAATGATCCAAGTGGCACCTGGTTTATTTATGGTGAGAAAGTTGCTTCATTTTTCCTTTTCTGTAATTTGTTTAATCGCGTTCACGAGTCCTCTTCCTATAATTCAATTCTGAACTGAAAATGTTTCAAATATATCAGACTTTGCTTGCCGTAGTATTACAGGTTTCAAATGAAAATATCTTCCTTAGTTTTCTCCATTACTACTTTTGAAAATTTTCAGACTAGATTCCACAATATGAAAAAAAACTAACTCACCTCGATAAGTTACTTCACGAATTCGATAAAATATTCACGGAAAAAATCAGTAACTTGCCATATTTGACAATTTTGTCAAGCACAAAGAGCTAGGCATTTTAGATATCTTAACATGTCGAAGATCAAAACCTGCCACCATCTTCAGGATAGAAAAAGTAAATGATAGTTTTCCTTCCCAAATTCGTTTCATTTTTGAACTTTCACGACAGTATCTAAAAAGATTTGAAATATAAATATTGTTAATGGGCGATGAGTTTAATATATCGCTGAACCAAGTGCCAATAACGCTAAATGAAATTTATTTACATTATTTATTTATTTATGCACTGTTATAGAGGTTATATCCAACTACAGAACAAGGATATAAGTCAAATCACAATACAATACAATTACAATAGGTTGTAAGATGAAAGCAATACACATAGAATAAGCTGAAGTAAAAAGACCTAATCTCAGAGATGGAACAGTAAAAGATGTCGAGTTGATAACTTGCAGAATTGTATTTGACAAACATGTTATGCAGAGGTGAACGTTTCAGATAAAAAGGATCAATCGCTCTAGAGGTTGGTATAGGTACATTGAAATTTAGTTTTTGCAGAATATGTGGGTCAATAATTAAATTATTAATCAGTTTAAAAAGAAAAATTGTGGAGTGATATTCACGACGGTAACTCAAGCTAATCATAGCATATCTAGCTAACAATGCATCATGGGTAAATCCAATTGGTGGATCTTTATTGCCTGATCTATAGGAGAGAAGTTTCAGGAAACGACGTTGTACTGATTCAACATTCTCTGTATACAACTGATGAGATGGATTCCAGATTATGGATGCATATTCTAATTTTGATCTGACGAAAGCATAGTACAAGGTTTTCGATGTAGATGAATCCGCGAAATATCTGCAATAAATCCATACATTTTGTTTGCAGCAGACAGAATGGCTTCAATGTGTGGTACGAAGGAAAGTTTTGTGTCGAAGGTAACACCTAGATCGGTGAATGTGAGAGGCCGTTGAAGTGGAATATCGTTTATTAAATATTGATAAGAAAATGGACAAATTTTTACTGTGTACGTCATTACATTACATTCTTTCGCGTTTAAAGGTAGATTTCTGTACGTCAAATCCAATTTAATGATCCAGTGAGAATCGAAGAAATATTTGGAAAATGTTTAACTAGATAATCTAATCCATATCAGTGTACCGAGGTTCCAACAGATAGCGCTTCTAATGAATGGGGCTATCTACTTTCTTGTTCTGAATGGAGTATGAAGCTTTCCTTTCTACATTGTATGATAGATGGCGAGAGTGAAGAAAAAATCCAAGCAATGAGCTTTTGTTTTTTCGAAATCTTTCGACACGAGAAATGAGATTGACCCATTTTTGGAGATAGGTTGATGAATAGCGCAAGAATCAAAATTTGTCATGTTTTGTCCAGATCTTCAAAATATGGACCATAATGTAAAAAAATATCTCAGGTAATATCAATTTACTCCCAAATGCAAATTGAAAATTGAAAGGAAGCTTGACATTGTCAAGCAATATCACTTGAGTTGTACACAGCACCTCTGTGAACAGAATGCTGAAATTAATTGGATCTCTTTATTCTTCCTTTTACAATCTTTCGAAAAATAAAACCCGAAAAAAATAAAAACCATTTTCCGAATTTTTGTTTTTTTCGGATATCTCCGAATTTCAGAACTTTTTCAACGGCATATTGTTAGTCAGGTAAATGCGCAACTTTGCCCCAATTTCTTCGTATCTCTCATAGTTTCCAAGATCCCACTGGTGGTTTCCAGTCTCCCGCCAATAGTGAAACTTTTTGTAACCACCTTGCCACCATATCCATAATTCATGGGAAGTTCTTGCTGATTACCAAACAAGCTCTCTATTAAGTTTGCATGAAATCAAAGAGAGTCCATCAATTTCGCCTTCAATGGTGACGACTAGAATATTGGATCAAGCTAGAGCTTGTTTGATGTTATCAACCTTTACTATGGTAAAGGTGGTAGTGATCCACCTTACTGTCGACAGCAGAGGTGATAATGCCCTTCTTTACTGACCTTTTCCGCAGTCGTTTCTATAAAAAAAGATTCTCTATTTGGGATCTAATAGAATTATATTTCTGAGCATTGATCACATCCCAAGCGGTTGATGAGATATATCGCTCCTGTAGTGATTCAACTATGGTTTTATCTGGTAGGTTGGTAATGAAACCACCTATGTAAATGGAAGCACAATAGCCATTTCTACTGAAGCGGTGATTGTGGCTTTGCTCTCCTGTAAGGTAATTTTTTTCTTTCAAAAAAAAAGAGGTGAGACTAAGAAGCGATAAATCTTCAGTTTGTCACTTTAGTTGGACACCAAAGTAGCTCTCCTCCTCAACCGCAAAATGTATTTTTTCATTCATAAATATGCACAGGCCTGCAGAAAAGCCAGTTGAACGCCGAGAGCGGTGCCTGTGTAAAAACTGCTATTTTTGTTGGATTGAAGTCTTTGAAAATTAATTCCACAAAGAGTGAAAGAGTTGTTGTATGAGTCTAATGAGAAGGTAGTCAAAATCGACCTCGAAGCAATGGGCATTTGACGGTGTCTCGTTTATCATTGTTTATCGAGGATTGAGTTTTCTGTTGATCAGATGTTTGGGTCTCCAATCTGGTCGAAGGTTTTTTCTGGATGAAATCTAGTATCTCTGGATATTTTCCGGTATAGGGTTCCATATGTGTAAACAGTATTCCAGAAAAAAATAATTATAAGCTTTATATAAAGCATTAAAAATTGCGGGAGTTCAAATACTTTTAGAAAAAAGTAGCTTTTTGATTGAGGACAGTTCTTGAATATGGAAATCGTTATTGTGGATTATTGGTCGCTGAATATACGGGGTATATAAAAATCAACGGAGTATCTACAAACTTCAATAGTTGAAAGATGAGCTGGATTAAGGCCGAAAACAACTCGCGTAAAGGAAAAAATGAACCTCTGGGATGTTTGTGATTTTTTATGCTATTTCATTCTTGTAACTATATTATAGTTATTTTATATCAATCAAAAAATATCACTGAAAAAAATTGTAAAGGTCTCAATGACGTCATCATACTTACCGTAGGCAACACTTCCTTCAGTCTCTTCCTCTACATAACTTTCTACAGACTCTTGAATTTCCAAGTAAGCCTCTTCCGGAACGGTGCCATTATATTCGACAACTTTTATGTCTGTCTGGCTCTCCAACTGATTCTGTATATAATAGCTGGTGTCAACGCAATTCTGCTGCTTCAAAAACCCTTTGCTCTGTCCGTTTTCCGCTAAACTATTATGATTGTGCACTTGAGCTACTGTAAGGCTAGGCAGCGATGTAATATCTATTGCTCTGAATTGGTGCTGGTCCCCTGTGTGTGGTGTTGAATTCAGAATGTTTTTCTGTGCTATGTCCACGTTGTGTGCATCGCCGGTACCCTCCTGGTACTGTGTCGACTTGATTTGCTGCAACGAGCTGCTCATCGATGAAACGGGAGTTTCGAAAGAGTCCTTCAACTCGTCGTCGCGAGATTCTAAACTATCCGTGTTTTGTTGAACGAGTTGACTTACGTCGTGATCGCCTAATGGTTTTTTTCGCTGCGGAACCACCGGCACGTCTACGTTGTAATACTTGTGATTGTAATCGTTACTTTGAGCACTTCTATAGTAATCGTCCTGCAACGGATAACTGTTTCTTTGCAAGTAGTTGGCGTTGACGGTGCCAATCTCGTTGATGACGCTCGCCATCGAGTAGATATCTGTCTCCTGTTCTGCCTGAAAAAAATTATAGCGTTGAATAATATTATTCATAATAATAACGTGCATCGCTCATTTGAACTTCCATTTTTTCAGTTTTGATAAACAAGGAAGTGTTCGTTTTGTCAGGCGTGTTTTGCAAATCTTTCACAGTAAGATTACTTTCAACGTGAGTTACATTCAAACTCCATCTGTCCACACAAAACCAGCTGATGTCTCAATCGCCACAAAAGAAATAACCAGGAAAGGAATTTCTGGCAAAAACACAACAATCTGCACTGATAGCAGACAAGTCCTATTAGCCTTGAACAGACAACTTGTTACCTCAGGGCTAGTACTAGAGTGCCACCAAGATTTAGCCAAAGCCTCGGTAGATAATAACATCTTCCTGAGTGTTAGGAGATCGACTTCGTGTTTCTACCCTTTAGGAGAGTTGCCTGTTACGCTAATGCATATCAAAGGATAAAAAGTAGCTGATTCACGAGTACGAACTGATAACTGGGAAAAAAAGGCTACGAGGCGACAAGTGGAATTGAAGAGTGTTGTATGGTCGATCGTACAGAATACGTTTAATATACAGGGTGATTCAAAAGTACTTTGACAAACTCCAGGAGGTGATTCCTCACAATATTCTAATATAAATTGTCCAAATGAATAAATGTCCGAAAACGCTTCGTTTCCAAGATACAGGATGTTGAAGTTTATTTTTATTTTAGTTTTTTTTCAAATAACTTTTGAANCTTCAACATGCATCGATTATCAAATAATCGACTTGAAGTTTTCAAGTCCAAATATTTAGAAAACGGTTGCTTACAGCGACTAGTAACAAGGGTAGCTTATTTACGTAGATATGATAGAGGAATCGATTTTTTTACTGAAAAATGTGCTAGAAGTACGCCCAAAAAAGTTATGAATCTTTAAAAAAGAAAAAGACATGTAGGTGGCGCCTTCTACGAGTAAGAGCAATAAGAACATCAGGTTTGAATTCGACACCTATATCAGGTTCTGGCCTTCATTACCTTTCAGACCAGTGATGGCTAGATACTTTGTTGCATTTTTCTATCAAGAGTCTTCTTTGGCAGTTCAATACCAACTTTCAGAGGAAATATTTTCACTGATTCATTTGGCAAATTAGTTTTCGACATTATCTCCACATATAAATCAATGGTAATTTTTTTTCTGAAATACGGTTGCTTAAGACTCTACGCAGGAAAAATATTTATGTCCTGGGTCTGCAATTGTATACATCTGCAAAATACCCTAGATATATTTCCAGTCCTCAGGGAACCAACAACTATCTACTCGAGTACAAACTGTGTGCAAATCATAGGTAGTCTTGCTGGTTGCACTGCTACAGCTGCTATGGCGAATAGAAATTGAATTTCAGAAATTTTTCAAACTTGATGAAAACCGACTCTTGCACTCTGACCACAACGGACCACGATTTCTATAACTCATACTTGAAATTGCTAGGAAAACACAAGAGATACAGAGATATTATTTTTCTTACAGAGCATTAGTATTAATTCAACAATATGGTATAGTAAATATGCCTATATAATGAAAGATGAAATAGTCAGAGTCGATGTGGAAACAAAGTTAGGTACATATAAAATACCCCACTTCAAAAATCTGAATGACAGATCTTTTGGAGTCGAATGAAGACCTTTAGAGGAACGTTTTGTCGGAGAATGTTTGGATTCGATTTCATTAGTTGTTGTTGTTAGTTCACACTATATTTTTGGAGTTTTGACATGTAGAAGTATACTGAGAACTATGTGAAAAAAATATAATGGTTCGTAAAACGAGTTATTCGAGGAATTTTAACTGTCATATCCCAAGTATCAAATTTTGAGTTGGTGGTAACAAACACAGGAACCGCTTCTGGATATAGGTACTCTAAGACAAAATCATAATTTTATGATACCCTATCACAAGCTAGCAATGGTATCCAATAGTCTTCCATTTATACCACCAGGTTATATAACAAACTTTCGATTACCTTTAAGAAAATAACCAACTTGAACCCAAAACTAGTGTGAAATAAATACTGCTTTAATCTACTTTCTACACGATCGATTACTTTTATCGAACCGATTTTGAGAATTGAAAACGTAATTATTATTTCACAATAGTAACGTAAACTTTTGTATTGTAATTTCTATCACTGTTTACATTGTTGTTTTCATTTAATGTAATTTTACTGATTTTTGCTCATTGTTTTTCTTCTAACCGATTTTGAATTATGGTGATTTGTTACTTCGTGTGTTTTTTTACGATTTACATGCTTGTAATGAATCTCAGACATTATGATTGTTCCAAAACTCAGATTATCCTTTCGAAAAATCATTAGTTCAAGCCACAAATTTACTAATGACCATTGAATATTAAATATTACTGGAGTTTTTTCCCAACACCAAATCGTTATTTTTAACACCTCGACACGTGTTTCGATCACCTTGTTCCTTATATCTTACTTCAATAGATCTTTTTGTCTGTCCATAATATTTTGCATCGCAGTCCTTACATTCAATTTCGTGAATTCCAAACTTTTCAGAATTCTCGACTTTGTCTTTTGGACTTCCCAAAAGGCTCTGTAGGCTACAGAACCTTTTGGGAGCCTACAGGCTGCAAAATATTATGGACAAACAAAGAGATCTATTAAAGTAGGATATAAGGAACACATAGCCCACTTAAAATATGGAAGACCAGAAAAATCAGCAGTCGCCCATCATATTTTGCAACGAAACCATTCCATAGACTTCAGTTCATTGAGATTAGTTGAACAAGTTAACAACAACAACAAATAATATTGTTGGGTTTACTGATTACTACATAAGGACAAATTGCAAAAATAAATTTAGATAGACAATATTGTGAAATTAATTTTAAATAGCTGAAAATTGTTTTATATACAGCTATAACAGTTAAACATATATTGTAAAATAATAGATAAGGAAAAATTGTGAAATTAATTTAGGTTGGTATACCTGTATGGGTGGTACACCTGGATGGTTTACCTGTATGGGATATCTATATAGCATAAATAGGGTTAGCTTCAAGTTAGTTTCAAGTTTTAATCTTCCTATTTGAAGATGATCACTTGATGATCGAAACACGTGTCGAGGTGTTAAAAATAACGATTTGGTGTTGGGAAAAAAATCGGGTAATATTCATTACCACACCAAAGGTTCCAAACAGTGCATCATAAATGATCATTAAGTCTATCGAGGGTGAAGAACTGAAATTTTTGGATACCTTTGATTAATCGGAGAAACAATCTGTGGTTCTCTGAACCAAAAATTGACTAATGCCGGAAAACTTTTTCCATTCCATTCCAAGAAGAGTTTTCTTTCTTCTCAGGAAATCTGAACTTCACATTTCACAGGTGTTGAATTTTTGAACTATCCAGACAGTTGGTATCTGAATCATGATATTTGGTAGTGCAAAATAAGCATTTTCACAAAACACCAGAACTGCAATATTTTACTCTACGCGCTTTTCACCTACCAAGTTATCTTCTGAAGATGAGGTTTTCGTTATAAACGCGCTGAGAGTAGAGTATTGCAGTTCTGGTATTCAGAAAAAGTGCTTGTTTTGGATCTAGTCTACACCAAAGGTTTCAGTAGTGAGTGCTCAGTAAGCTTAGTACCTACCAGTAGATTATCGTTACTTTGATATGCATAATTATAGTCTTCATTGTAGTTCTCCATTGCGCTGAGGGTGCCGAGCTGAGCGTAATAATTTTCCGCAGCATCATCTGCGTAATCTGCGGAACTTGTCCTCTTCATGAGCTTGTTTCTTTTCGTTCTCGGGCTGGAAAGGTCATTATTTGGCCTGGGGAGCTGACGACCGGGGGTGGCCGATCTGAAGTTTCCTAGTATGTTCTGAGAAAAACGCCCCACCGCCTTAGCGTTCTTAGTGGGCGTTGGAGGAAGGCTGGCCCCTCTGTGGGAATAGGATTCGGGAGTTCGGATCCCGTCGGAAATTTCGTGGCTGGGTTGGGGAAGTTGTCGCCATGACGCCTTCTTTGTCGGTATCTGCGGCATCATTCTGCGTCCCTTCGACATTGGCCGAACGGGTTCGTCGTATACGGAGCTGACGTTATTGCAAAGGCGTGGTTTGTTCGTGAGGTTTTTCAGTGCTGGTATCGAAGGGAGTTTCTTGGAGGTTTTCGGTTTCGGTGGTGGAGGGTAAGGTTCGAACCCTCCGCTGTCCCATTGACGGTCTTCTTCTTCCTGGTCGAATCTCTCGTTCTGAAAGGAATATGGTAGGACGTCGTAGTATTCGTCGATGCTGGGTTTTTGGTCGAGAGAGTGGTACCTAAAAACGAGTTACTCGTTAAATAATGAGGAATAGAGGATATTTATAGAAATTTTGATTTGTTTCGAAATTTTTTTGGTTGGTTTCCGGGTTTTGCTGTGGTTTTCTTTGGTTATACTCTCCAAACGTCTCAGCTGCAACTGCGGCAGTCATCTTCGGTTGCAGTTGAAATATTTGGAAATTATAACCACGGCAAAATTCGGAAATCAACCAAAACATTGACGCCAGCCGTGAAAGTCTACATTCCTATGTTTCAAAATTATTATCTCCATTGACGAAAATACCAGATTTTTTAAATATAATGTATTAGGTAGGGGAAGTATGGGGCACAATGTTATACAGGTTACAGTGTTACTTTCGGTTTTGCCAACTTATACGATGTCGTAAGGCACTGGAATAGAACTCTCTGGAATACGTTGAAAGTAAGTTTTTATATTTTTTCAAGTCAAAAGTAATTTTTATGGGTACTTTGAAAATTGTATATTACTGCTTTCATAATAAAATATCGTAAAAATTAGAGTTTATAGCTCAAAAGGCATATTTATAGGTTAGTGTGACTTATGAAACATAACCTAAAATATTTCTGCTTGCTTACAAATCAGCATTTGATGACGAAATTTCGATTGGGGTACGAGTTACATTTTACTTGGCGGCACATCTCAATTTGAATCTGACGTTAATGTTCAGTATGTCAAAAGACTGTTTCCCACATTTAAGTTTATTGACACAAATGAAAAATTCACTTACGAAATGATAAAATTATTGCCAAATCACCTGTTCCAAAGCCATCAGGGGAAACAAATAGAAGGTGAGAAATGTTAATTTTTTCTGTTGATCTACACATTAACCATAATGAACTTAAGTAATGTGGGCGTATCTTTATATGTTTATAAAACCTAATATTTTGCTTCTAGAATTCAGTTTCATTTTGAAGTTATTTTTAAGATTTCATTTTTTGTAGTTTCCTGTTTCAACTTGCTTTGATGGTTTTGCCATTTCAACGGATATTTACAACCGTCATTCGTCGAGATAATATTTTTTATAAAGGAAACATAAATATTTCAAGAAACAAACATTTACGAAGTATGATGCCAATGTTCAAGGACTAGATACAAAATAGAATCGTTATTTTGAATCTATAAATGAAAAAATTATTGGCCGATATGTTCCTCTATATATTCGTAAAATATCAATGAGAATACTCCTACTTTCTGATATGAAGTTTGATTTGAAGTGTAAATCTGTGGTGGTTATCAATTTCGATTATATCGGCACTGGGCAGGCTATTTTTATTGATTTGTTGTATTGTTCTCCATTTCGAACAAAAATAAGATTTAATTTTCCTCTGTTGAACACGAGCAAAAAAAGGAATGGACAGTGGCAGCAATTCATTTGCTGTTCGTGTAGTGGGAAGGACAGAAAACAGTTAACAAAAAAACACCCGACTCACACTAGTTTTTGTCTGTTTGGTGAAATTCGAGTTTTGACTTTATTTTCGAAAGTAAAACAAGTTGTTGTATCTGTTTTTAGTTAGTCGCAAGCGAGTCCGTTTGATGGAAATCCGTTTTAACGAGTATGAAGTTGTTTATATCGATGATTTCCAGCCTTTGAGGAAACACGATTTGCTGAAGGTTTCTGTATAACTTCGATTATACAGGGTGTCCCTGGACTTCCTCTTTTCCTCTCGGGAATGTAAAGACGGAGTCGAAATATCACCAGTACTACATATAACCTTTTTTCCTAAAATCCAAGTTACCAAGTTACCAAGTTACCGGCCCTCAAAGTTACAAAATGAAAAATGTAGTTCTTTGGTAACTTTTCAAGTGAATATTCAAAACCACCCAAATTTTGGTGATTGACTAAACAAATGAATTGCTTTGATGATCTTTCATGCAGGAATCGATTGTTTTGTTACAAAGTTAGGAACGACTACCCCCGATGGTCCACACCCCAAAAATAAAATGACAGATATTTTTCAACAAAATCAGGTGAGCTAGACGTTTTTCTGAATGGAAAAAAGTACTTGTGTGGAAAATCGATCGAAGCAAAGATTTTTTATGAAAATACACTTATGTTAGACGACATCCAACCTGAAATGTATAGCATTATTTGAAATGAAAAATTTTCACAGCAGAAATAATTATGATTACGTTAATGCAACAACATAAGAAGAATGAGAAGAAATATAAAGTTCTGTAGATTCTTGGTGTTTTTGAACTACGCGAAGGAAGCGAATATCGAATTCAGTCCATATTTTGTATGTACGTGTGGAATAACCACATTTCGTGTTTCGTTATCTGAATCTCATGAAACTCAACATTCGAATGTTTCAAATTCTTCTTCACAGCTAAACTGTTGAGGAGTTTCACTGATAATTCAATTCGATGGGAGGAAATCTTCAATCCTATACGTTTATCTGAAAAAACGCACATTTACCAATACTTATAAAGAGCAAACGGATGAACTAAAAAAACGACAGCACATGAATAGGTGAAAAGTATCCGGTGAATAATTATGCTTCATTTCTTCAACAGATGTTAACCTTTTTAGGAAGAAAAAAATTGTTGTGATAAAAAAATGCCAAACTAGAATGCGATTGTGTTTTTTTGAGTGGTGCATTGTAATTTTATTGTCAATATTCCAATATTTCAATATTCTACATAGATGGAATGGTGGAGGTGGGCCATATGCATGACCACCGCGGTCCCCAGATTCGAATCCATTGGATTTCTTTTTGTGGGGGCATCTGAAAAGCCTTGTTAACGCTACACCTATTTACACAAGAGATGATATGTTGAATAGGATAATATTACATAGGAAGCCATACGAAACGACCCTGGAATGCTATTTCAAGTCAGAGGAAGTGTCCTCGCAGACAACGAAAATCTATTGAGAGAGAATAGGGACATATCAATCATACTGCCAAACTATAATGCGATTGTGTTTTTTAGAGTGGTGTATTGTTATTTTATTGTCAATATTCCAATACTTCAATATTCTACATAGATGTAACGGTAGAGGTGGGCCATATGCATGACCACCGCGGTCCCCGGATTCGAATCCATTGGATTTCTTTCTGTGGGGGCATCTAAAAAGCCTTGTTTACGCTACACCTATTCACACAAGAGATGCATTGTTGAATAGAATAACATTACATTGTGAAGCCATACGAAACGACCCTGGAATGCTATTTCAAGTACAGAGGAAGTGTCCTCGCAGACAACGAAAATCTATTGAGAGAGAATGGGGACATATCAATCAGATTTTTTAGTGCATTTTTCGTTTCTGTTTGCTGTTGAGGCTTGCAATTGATATTTACACCATGAGTTTTGTTTGCATTATAAAAATTCGTTCATTCAAAATTAATCTTTTCGAATAATGGTAGGCATCGCAGGTTGGATGTCGTCGAACAAAAGTGCATTTTTATCAAAAATCTTTGCTCCTATCTATTTTTTAGACGACTACTTTTATTCAGAAAATTTTCTAAGCAACCTGATTTTGTTGAAAAATATCTGTCATTTCGAAGTTTTTGGGTGTGGACTATCGGGGGTAGACCGTTCCTGACTTTGTAGCACAACAACTAGGTAGGTAGGTCTAAAGTGAGTGGGTCTATTCAACCCTCCACCGCAACCCACAAGGGTTTATTGTGGCTCACACCTATTCACACTCGGCCAAATAAACCCATCTTCTTAACGAAGCTGATTAGTTTGTATGGTGAGTGGTCTTTCAGGTCAGATGGTGAAAGTACGGATCTGCCGAACTCAAAATACCTGATTCGGTCCCCAGCGGGGCAGGCGCAAAGTATATGCTCTGCTGTTTCATCATTTTCCAGGCAGAGGTGACAAACACTGTCTCCGACAGTCCAAGTCTCTGCATATGATGATTCAAATGACAGTGACCTGTAAGAAGGCCTGTAAGACATCGTAGTTCATCCCTACTGTAGTCCAACAACTGTTTGGAATCAAGCTTCGAAGGGTGAATAAACGCCTTGGAGTGATTCAATCCTGGAAGATTCTATCAGAAGTCCATAAATCTTCTTGCTATCCAGGTGTTCAGTGTTTGTTTGGCAAAGCCCAAAGCGATGCCAATGACAGGTTCTGATCCAATAAAGCCGCTTGCAGCACCCTCCTTTGCAAGAGACTCAGCAGCTCCATTGCCTTCCAGGCCAGCATGGCCAGGAATCCAGACCAGAGACAATTTGAGCACAACAACTAACTCCTGCATGAAAGCTCATCAAAGCAGTTTATTTGTTTAGTCAATCACCAAAATTTGGTTGATTTTGAATATTCACTCGAGAAGTTATCAAGGAAAAATATTTTTTATTTTGTAACTTTGACGGACCGTAACTTGGTAACGTACTAGTATTACAGGAATAACAGTAATATGAAGTACTGGTGATATTTTCACCCCATCTATACATTTCCGAGAGAAAACGAGGAAGTCCAGGAACATCCTGTACAAGCTAACTTAGGCTTGATAATATAGATAGATGCAGTCAAAGTTCAACTGGAATGTGAATTCAAAATTGAAAATGTCCTTTTAGGACGAAACTGCGAAAACATTAGTTGATAATACGAGTGGTAGAGAAGTTTTAATTCTCATTTGTCTTAACAGTTTTTATTTTTGCCACATGTGAATAACCTTCTTCATTATAAAGAAACCCGAACAAACTATTGCACTGCTGTCGTTCACAGAAAAACAATTATCAATTTGAACGGAAAAACTGAAACAACATACAACATGAAATCATACATACATACAACATGTAATTGATAATTTTACCTGCTAAGTTCTGAATTCATCTGATAACTGGGATATTCGCAAAAACTGTAATCGTCATACAACGTTGACTGCCTTTCTAAACTAGGTCTGCGACCAGCTGAAACAAAACGACTGTGAAGACAAATTCACAATGATAATGAATATTTACCTTTAGGATATTTTGTCGTCTGGGGTGGTATGTCATTAGGGTCCATGAAATAACCGGCATCAAAACTATCACCGCTTTTGTTGAAAGTTCCACTTTCACAACTGGTCCATGTCTGGCGACTGAAAAATGAAATTAAATATTTTTATGAAATTCTATTATTATTTTTCAGACCAGAAATCAGTGAATGTTTTTGCGATATGATAAAAGAAATTTGAAACAGAACTTTCAACTTTTGGTCATCGACTAGAAATATTTTATCAGTGTTTTGCCATTTCAGAGCCAATTCTGCCAAAATGACATTAAGGGAAGTGGTTTTTATTATATCATCATTAATCGGTCCTCCACAACCTCATACAAGCGGGCTGTTTATTGGTTATGTCGTTTATGGGCTGCAATATTGTTTGCTTCATCAATTTCATATTGATAATCATTTTCAGTATATTTACACGAATACGATAATTTTTACATTCTAGTTTCTGTTCAATTAATTTGGATTTTATTGACTCTTGCCATTAGGTCTCGATATCTGATGGAATTCAGTATGCCTTGTGTCATCCGCGGTTTTAATTTCATATGTTGATCGTTCTTGGTTTTTTAAGCTGAGTGTTTTGTTTTGACAGTGTTCATAATTTTTATGACACTGGGTGTCGATCAATAGAGCCCAGAAGATCTTCAGGTCTTCCTACGTTCCAGCTGAAAATATTTTATGTAGGTTAGTATAATTCATAAAAGTATTTTTATTTTTTAATGTTTGTTTTTGTTTTGATAATGTCATTCAATCGTTTTTCTGTTGATGATAAGAGCATATAGTTGCCGATTAGATAGATTTTGCATTGTATATTTTTCAAAAAAGTGTAATTGTCAAAGTACGAGGTATTGATCTACCCTCATTTCTATTCGAAAAGATCTTTCCCAATAGGGAACTTGCAGATTTTGTTTACATCATAAATGTGTTCTGCTATGATAACTCTTAAATACTGCAGAATATGAGCAGTAAAATATCAATAGTCGGTTTATAAAAATTATAAAAAATGTTTGCGTTGAAAAACCAAATCAAACAAGCGTTTAAAGGTGCGAACTATCATGACGTGATACTGTATTAATCCGGCCGCAGGCATATGTCACAGGCGTTCGAATGCGTGAACTGTCATGACGTCATACTGTATTAATCCGGGTGTATGCATATGACGCAGGCTGTGACTGCCGTTTGAATCTACTTATTTAGGCAGCTGCAGCCAAACGCTTCTGTATAAAATATGATGAGGTCCTGTTTTTTAATAGATTTGTATTATTTAGTTGTATAGTTTTGTGATTTTTGTTTAAAGTTGATTCAGCTTTGTTTGTGTGTTGTTGAATTGATAAATCTAATAAGGACTTTCAAGTTCAAAAGCAATGGAACACAAACAATATCACAAATATTGCATTGTTCCTTTGTGCACAAATACTTATCACTCAATGAAATACCTGAAGATGATCATAATTATCGAAAAAACTGTTAAATAGATGCGGAAGAAATTACAGAAATACATATAATGTATACATAGTGATTAAACTTACAACAAATAATAGTTGTACTAACTTGTCTATAATGTTTGTTTTTGTTTTGATAATGTCATTCAATCGTTTTTCTGTTGATGATAAGAGCATATAGTTGCCGATTAGATAGATTTTGCATTTTATATTTTTCAAAAAAGTGTAATTGTCAAAGTACGAGGTATTGATCTACCCTCATTTCTATTCGAAAAAATATTTCCCAAAAGGGAACTTGCAGATTTTGTTTACATCATAAATGTGTTCTGCTATGATAACTCTTGAATACTGCAGAATATGAGCAGTAAAATATCAATAGTCGGTTTATAAAAAATTTTTGCGTTGAAAAACCAAATCAAACAAGCGTTTAAAGGCGCGAACTATCATGACGTGATACGGTATTAATCCGGCCGCAGGCATATGTCACAGGCGTTCAAATGCGTGAACTGTCATGACGTCATACTGTATTAATTCGGGTGTATGCATATGACGCAGGCTGTGACTGCCGTTTAAATCTACTTATTTAGGCAGCTGCAACCAAACGCTTTCGTATAAAATATGATGAGTTCCTATTTTTTAGTAAATTTGTATTATTTAGTTATATAGTTTTGTGATTTTTGTTTAAAGTTGATTAAGCTTTGTTTGTGTGTTGTTGAATTGATAAATCTAATAAGGACTTTCAATTTCAAAAGCAATGGAACACAAACAATATCACAAATATTGCATTGTTCCTTTGTGCACAAATACTTCCATTATATCACCCAATAAAATACCTAAAGATGATCATAATCGTCGAAAAAACTGTTAAATAGATGCAGAAGAAATTACAGGAATACATATAATATATACATATTGATTAAACTTACAACAAATAATAGTCGTACTAACTTGTCTACTTTAACTCCGCGTATCTCACCAGAAGAAAAATGTTCAGCTTCTCTAATGAATTTTGATACAATAAACATATCAACAACTGGCAGATTATCGGATTGACCTTTGGTAAATCCGTCGTCGGTTATGTTTGTTCGAATTTACACACTTAATAGTAAATAATACTGTGTAAAATTAACTAAATACAGTAAAAACCACAGAGTTGGACAAAAATATCACAATAATCAACAGAAACTTTAAACTAGCAAACGCAAACAGTTCAACATAAATGGAATGGCGACTGGCGAAGCAATGTATGACGTCACATCCAATGGCTGGGCGTTTTTGGTCACGTGACGAAATTTAAATTTTTAGTGAACTTCATTTCTATAAGAACGACTAGCATTTAATTTTTTATTGTAATAAAGGCTTCATTACAATGATATATTTTAATTCTCAATGTAATTTTTGTGAATAAATGTTTATACATGTTCCCTATTGTGCTGGCAGTTTTGGGAAATATTTATAAAAAATAAATCACGACTTTCCATGAAGTTTCATTAAAATGCAAACAAAACTACCGTAACGGTGAACTGAAAACTTGCTTTCCTGGAATCTTTCAAGCACGACGCAAATCGAATGGAAGTTTCAAGTGATAAAAACTGAAATACGTATATCTAGGACATGTCTGATTCAAATAAGTTTGGAGGTGTTGAAAAACTTTAGACGGAAGTGGTCCAGTTTTTGAAAACTTTCTGCATTTCGGATTGACGACGAATGTTCCGTTCAGAGAGATGGCTGAGTAAAATATTTACCTTGAGTAATTGGACTTGTTCGGCGGTCGGCTGTTATAGAACAAAGGTTCAGAATCCGTGTTGTTTTCTTGGTACTGTCGTGACGGTCCTCGGTACGTTGATTTATAAGGACTGCTATTATCCACGTTCGAAGATTGCTGAAAATTTAATGTAATTAAAATCTTGGCGTAAACTAAAATATATCTCTGCCTAACCAATAACCAATTGGAAACACTTCCAGAGCAAATCAACAAGCCTAAGGATGAGGTGAGGAATGGGAAAAAATACCAGCGTGGTCCAAACAGAACTGGCTGGTATCTCAATCGCCACAAAAGGAATTTCTGACAAAAACATAACAATCTGCACTGATAGCAGACAAACCCTATTAGCCTTGAACAGACAACCTGTTACATCAGGGCTAGTACTAGAATGCCACCAAGATTTAGTCGAAGCCTCGGTAGATAATAACATTATCTTGAGGTAGATTGAAGGGCACGACAGGAGTAAAGGTAATCGCAGTGCCGACTCTTTAGCCAAGGAAGTGGCTGGACTAAGAATTTTAGGACCCAGTGGCACCTACGGCCTGATGACTTCGACAATTGCGGAACTAGCCAAATGTTACACCCATGCTCAATCCTTAGAGAGATGGGAAGAAATCAAGGGATGCAATCTTGCCAGGATCACCCTGGGAAGCTGGCGCCGAAGAAATATCTGGCGATGACCAGGAAAAATATACGCTTAACAGTAGGATTTCTGACTGGCCACTGTCAACTGAGGAAACATCTCCATAATTTGGGGATAATGGACACACCTCTATGCAGGATATGTGAACAGGAAGATGAAACTGTCAGGCATGTCCTATACGAAAGTCCGGAGTTATCGTCAATAAGGGAGTGTGTGTTCGGCGAGTCTTGGCCTACACCTGCTGATATAAAGGAGATGTCTCCTAGTGACCCGTCCACCTTCCTGAAAAGGACAGGATGGACGATGACCTAGGAGGACAACTCCTTGGGAAGATGTACAATGGATCACATGTGGCCTAAGTGCTTTGGGCCTACACTAACCCTCCCTACTCTACAGATACAGATCACTCCCAGAGACTCAACTAACTTCACTTTTAAGAAAGTATTGCAATTCCTCAACATAAATACTATGTTCAAGAAAAAGAGAGTCCGTATATAAAAATTGAAAAACGTGAAAGATACAAAGGCGATTGAATTAGAAAGAAACTGTCAAGTTTGGAGCTTCATTAAATGATGTTAGAACTTCTCGATTAGTTTTGCAACGTTTCAAGAAAGTTTTCACAAGCTTTCAATGCGACATTTCGTCTCTGAGAAAGCATCACCAATTTAAATTTTTTATAAGGACGGTATCAGTTATTCTTTTTGATGACATCTTCACTGATGTCTCAACTCAGTCAAAATTGTCTAAATTTCAAACATCATCTGAATGAGCTCCAGAATGAACAACTTTTTCGCATCTTAACCATTTTTGTATCTCTTACGATTTCTGATTTTCCCATACTGGCGTTTCTTATATAGAACACAGTGTATAAAGACAACAACTTTCAAATATGGTGTATTCATAAGTGAAGCGAGCTGTTTTAGATATAGGGACCCTAAATTAATAGAGATTATTTTTCGAAAATTCAAACCGTGTTGACGATTATTTTTAAATATACCGTAATCGAAACTCAAAAAGTTGAAATTCAAATTCATTTTCAGAATTCTGGAATATTTATTATGTCATGGAATCCTAGGATTCAATATAAAGCACTAGAAACATTTGTTGGTTTGCAGTAGAGAAAGCTGATTCCATTTATACCCCAATGTAGTCTAAGGTCTAATCTAAGGTCTAGTCTAAGGTCAAATTATTACACATTTTCAGAGTCTTTGTTCAGTCCCTGTTCAAGGAAAATATCGATTTTTTTTAAACGTTTATTTGTCACTAAATTTTGGACTGGATCTGGTCGTATTTGGAATTTCCAACAAATTTAAATCGACTGCAAACTGTTTTTCATCAAATTGTTGTATAACACCTTGTATATATTTCATAATAGATTTTGTTAATATTTGCAATGCTGGACAACATGAAATAATAATTCGAATTTAATCAATAATCAATAAAATGCATTGCGACTCCTTCAGCGAGTATCCAACGTCCAACCACCTCATCATTTTCAAATTTGGCATCTTGCATGAGACACTATTTCTATTCTGGGGATTAATTATATCATTGATAGACCGTTCATAGACCCTAATATTCAAATATTGTTACAGAGGTCATGTCACGTGATCTTGCTGGCCATTTTAGTAACCCATTTCCAATTCACTAATTGGGAAAAACTATAACCAAATACTCCATGATGAGTATCCGAGAGATATCCATCGACGACCACTTGCGTGGTCGAAAGAACGTTCCCTTTCTTTCAGGAATCTGAAAGAATACACAAAAATGATCCGACAAACCATAGCATCGAAGTTTTGCCGGCAAACCCTCATGCCACACCCGGTCAAAAGTCTAAAAATATCAAGCGCAACAGCTCTTGACTTTCCATGTTTCTCTATTGCATTATTCCAAATATGGGTGACATAAGATAGAAGGTCGCCTCTTGATCTCTGTTTCCGAAAGTCATATTGATGATCGCTCAAAATGTTAAAGCCTTCCAAATATTCAAGAATATGGTGGTTTACAGCTTTCTCCATTATTTTCAATACCACTGATAGCAAAGCGACTAGTCTACAGTTATTAGGAATTTTTTCCCGGTTCTCAAATATGGTTTGTCCTCTTCAGCAGAGTTCAAATAACTTTTTTTTTCCTCGAATGGTGGTTGGAACCCCTGTTCAAATATCAGTCTGGAGGGTTGGCTTTCTATTTATATTATGTTCCAGTCTGCCATTCCCCTGAATTCCTACTGATATATCCAGGAAAGTTATTCTTTCTATGTCTTTTTTCTCCACCGTAAGTTGGTTTTTTGGTTACAGTAGGGTTTTAATGCTAGACAGCTACAAATATGGCTTTGGCTGTAGTCAACTATGACAATTTCAGTAGAAGCGGTGACATCACCCAAAAAAACGCCATCTATGGGATTGATAAAGGACTCAATCCTCGAATATCAAGGATAAACAAGTCTTTCCACGCCAGTTCGTTTCGAAACCGAGCTTCAACATTGTGCGCCGAACGAGATTCGTTCTCTGTCTTTCACTGCAGTTTTCACTACAAGGCAACTGTGATGTTGAATTACAAATCCAACACCGTATAGCGATGTTTCGACCCGCTTATGTAGAATCAGTGGTGCTGAACTGAACCACTGAACTGTTCTAACGAAATGAAGCCTAAAAGTTAAGGCGATGGCATTTTCCTCTACTACAGGATCGATAATCAATCAGTTTCTTCATGGTCAATCAGTTTCTTATGATTTGACATACTTCAATTGTTGCAATAAACTTGAAGAATGTCAAATTATAATTTACATCTGACCTGTTTCGGGTTTTTTTTAATATATACAGTAACCGAAATAATGAATTTATTCCATTTGGCTTTTACACATTGTGTAAATTCTTATGGTGTCATATATACAAATTTTATGTAGTCCAAATGACGGCTTTAAACAGGTTTACAGAATAACTTCGCAGGAATCGAGATATTCTATATATTTTAACAGCATTTCGCTGATGATTCTAGAGCTTGTCGTTCAAATTGTTCCATATAGAAATTGATCACAACTGAACTCTGTGCAACTGCTATTTTTCCACAGAATCCCCAACCTAATGAAAATATGTTAACATAAGGTAATGTTCAGAAAAGGTGAACAAACAAGCGAACGTCCAATTTTCCGTACTATTATGAATGCGAACACGTCAAAACTTCCAGTTTGCATGTCGCAGCAAGGTAAATCAATACAATATGCTACAAATTTATTCATTCGCAAGTCTACAAATTTTATTTTTAGTGATATAAATCATAATAAAAATATTTTTTCGTTTTTATATATAAATAGATACGTCAACTATAAACCATCTGGAGGACATCACCTAAGCAGAGCTTGTGATTAAATTGTCACCTGATGAGCAATTTTCCCTTAGAACACTTGCAGAATTGAATTGAATTGATATCCTGGAGAGAGGGAGAGAGGAGAGAGGGAGAGAGAAACATGCTGAAACAAGTGTAGAATATTCATGAATACCATCACAATTATCAATACAGTAACCTATATGTATTATTTCGGCCATTGCCACATCACAGCAAATGATGACGGAACTTTAAAACCATTGGCAAAAAAGCAAATAATCTCTTAGACACCGCTCGTGATGGTCTACATACAATGACCAATTCTTATGAGTTGATAACCTGTTAAAGACACCAAATGAAGATATGAATACGTGCGAGCTCACCTGGTGGTACCGCCTATAAACATCGGGACTGAGGTGCTGCTGGTGGTTCTGAGACAAACTCAACATTTGTTGGTTGTGGGCATTGGGAGTGTCTGCACGCTCAGAAGAATTTTCTCTGGATGTTTCTAGAGACCGTTGTGGAGTGTTGATCTGATAGGCTGCCGATCGGAACTGTGAAGCTGAAGAATTGGCGTGCTGACCTACGGGGTAGTTGAGATCGGACGTGTAGTCGCTGTCCTCCGAGTACCCCGCTGAAATGTCATTTTCAAAGTGATTATCATGCGCTGGAAAAGAAGGTGGACCATGAAGAAGATTGATCGTTTTCAGTTGGATCGATTGTGGAGAGTAGCTTTCCCAGTGTTTCTTCTAATGGATTCATTTTTATTTGATATTAAATTTACATCTAGATTATATATAACTGAGAGGAAGTTAGCAAAAATGTTTAACTGAAAATGAATAACAACTTTTCAATAATACGAAAATATAAGCCTTCAATTATAATTTCATGACATCATTAGACTTCAAAATTTCTCTGATGTCAGGAAATATATGAACTGTTTGGTTTTTCATTTGTTCAATCAAATCTTCAAAAATTTCTGAACGATTTGAAATCGGATTTTTTTTTCTATTAGTATGTATTATGTCGAAATGAAAATTATTGGAACTTTTTGTATTATCATCATGCAATTTAGAACTTTTCTAGAAATGAAAATATTTCTACGAAGATTTTTTTGTCAAATTATAAAAAGAAAAAGTCATATTTTCACTAATCTCATGTTTTTTTTCAATATACCCTTTGAAGGTCAATTATAATTTCTTTGTCTTTAGTTCAGAACGTACCAAATTGTGATAAGGTATATAATTCGAGTAAATAATTGAGCAACTCTCAACTCTAATCTGTATCTCACATGCGGTATCCTCCAAGGGTCTATTTTGGAGCCTTTACTCTTCATAATATATACTGCAAACTTGTCTACTTGTCAGTCTCATTATCATGTACATGACACACAAATTAATGAATCATTCAATTATGGACATGTACATAATTGCTGTACTGCTTTTAATGAAGATCTGATATACCAAAAGATCACTGTTTACTAATTCTTCCCGAAAAATCTGAATTGTTAATTTTTGGGACCACAAATATCAAAATCAAACCGATCAAGTCATTTGTTTGAAGGTGATTGACAATATTCCATGATAAATTTCACTAGTTCGGACTTCCATTGTCTAATATATAAAATGATTTGAAATCCCTGAAACAACTGAAAAGGAGAAATAAAAATTATTAGCTGTAAATAACAATTATATTAAGCATATGGAGTGGTTTGAAATTCTGGTCATTGAAGAAGCCAACAAGAAACCTCGAGTCTGGTTGAGATATGTTGACGACACCTTCATAATATAGAACCATGGGAATACTGAACTAGACGCCTTCCTGGAAACACATCTGTTGAGCGACATATAACAAAATATACCAGAAATGCATACTATACCTCAAATTGATTTCTAACGTTTCTAAAATTCTAGACATCAAGACGAAAAAAATATTGGGTGCATCTTCAGTACCGAGTAGCTTCAACTTTGGGAATAGAGTATACTATCCTTGCCTAACGAACCACGACTAAAATCGTATCCAGATAGAGAAGAACTAATGTGCCCAAATCATTTATGGAACAAAAAATTGCAACTCAATTCAACTTAATTTCCCATAAAATCAAAGAGTCGAATTAGTTAACAATGAGACCAATATGATTACTAAATATTTATACGAAAAACTCCAATTCAGGTACGATGTTCACGAATTTTTCACCAGATTTTGATACCAACTCACTATTCCAAAATACCCTACTTCACTTTACTGAAGATCCTTTCTTCATAAGATATATAACACCATTCCAGACTCGCTAAAGACCATGAGTAGCTCTACGTTCACATGAACATTGAAAAAATGTTACTCCAGGAAAAATGCAATGACATTTTTCAGTGATATTATTACACCATCAAAAGTAGGTGTTCATACGAAACAGTAAACCTGGTTCTGTAACATTTTGGTTGTGCTGTTCAAGAATATGGTGCGAGGCAGATTCATGAATTATACCTTGTTTGAGGTGGGGATAAGTTGCTTCCTGGCTGCACCAATAACAGGATCAAGAGCTGATAAACTGAAAATTGCTTGATTTTGATTCCATGTTACAGGAAAGTCAGTTAGAGTCTTTTCTATAACCTCCATCTTTTCTGTAGGGTTATGGTCGAATTATTTGGTCAGTTCATAATCCATAGAGGGTCCCACGAGCAGCTAAGTAAAAGAAGTATATCAAGGCAAAGCCCCAAATTACAGTGACAATGCTACGACAAAAGGGCGTCCACTATTTTTAAGGTTTCGTTAGTGACACTCAGGACCATAGATGCTTTCGGCTTGTATACACTAACCCTAGGATGAGGCTACAGATTAAAAAAAACAGTGATCAAAAAGTTAGTTGAAAAGTCTCGATTGTCTTCCCGGGAACTCACTTATCGGAAAAATGAAGAGAATGAGTATAGCGAAGTCAAATTCGAGCGAAAGATCATGCCAAGATAACAGCAGATAAACATGTCAATGAAAACGTTTTTCATCCTGAGTTGAAAATATCACAGACCGTATTAGAAGCTTTCTTAGAAATTGCAATGTAAAAGCTGAAGCACCAGTGGATCTCAAGTCAGTACGGACCTCCGACAAAAAGCTTTCAGCTACACCGGATACCGGACCCTTATCTACATTGAAATCACAAAAAGAATAGTCAAAACCCGGCTTTCTGAACATAAGAGGATTTATTGCCTCGGAAATACCGACAAATCAGCACTGGAGATTTGAGGAGTTACTTAGAGAAGGTACTCCTGTTATTTCATTGAAAGATACCCAAGTTCTTGATAGTACTCGGGGCTACTATCTAAGATCATATAAAGAGGTCATATGAATTCAAAAACATACAATTTCATCCGAAAAATAGATGAAATCAATACAAATGGAGTATAACAACCCGCACTCAACATTACACTAATCAGACCAATCAAACCGGCGATAGAAAACATCACCTTAGATGGAAAAACCTGGCAGCCGAACCCCAAAAAACATAGTATGCTCTGGAAATAACTAGAGCTAGAAATTTGTTTTTGTTTTTTTTCATAATATGAAAAATTGAAGAGATAAAGTCCCACATCGCACCTTTCATAATTGTTCCACCAGAGAAATGTTGCTCCAGTTGGTGATACAACTTTTTGCGTTATAATAGTGAATTAGTTGATCATTTGACACTAATAGATATAGTATGTCCTAATCTACTGTATTATTTCACAAGGATTTTCTGGCAGCCAAACGATATCGAGAATCGCCTGAATCATTTCTATCGAAGTACGTTCTTCCAGTTCACAAGTATATCGCTTCACCGTATTTTCGGTCAGAAATCTTGGGGAGTTCGATAAATTTGTGGAAGTCATCGAAGTGTATATGTTTTATCGACGTGACAATCTGGCCCCAGGAAAGATTAGAGAGCCAATGAACATGTAATCGAATTAACCTCGTTCCGGAAGGGGAAATGCTTGTAACTCAGATTTCCCTCAAAGCGAACTGCTCTGGACCTCCAAGATTCCCAGTCCAACATTTTTTATCGGATTATATTCAATGTTCGGTTCAAGAAGCTTCGATTGGTTTCTCCAGGCTGTATTTTCAGTTCACCAGTGTTTCAGTTCCTGAATCGATTTCAAATGATTTGCTATTTTTCACACTGGGGGACCAGCAGAAACGAACTGTTAACGGTCACGAAATAAGTTAATGATGACTGTGGGATTATTGTAGTTTATACTTGATATGAAGAAAACCATGAATTTGAATAGCTGATGTGCAAAAACCCTCATATGGGAAGGTATCAAGGTGGAAATCTTGCACCTTGACTATCCGACTACCTCATAAATGATGAAACAGCAGAGCATATACGTTGTGTCTGCCCCGCTGAGGACTGAATCAGGTTTTTAGAGTTCGGCAGAGCCGTACTCTCACCTTGTGACCTGAAAGATCACTCATCATACGAACTAATCGGCTTCGTTAAGAAGCTGGGTTTATTTGGCCGAGTGTGAATAGGTGTGAGCCACAATAAACCCTTGCGGGTTACGGTGGAGGGTCGATTAGACCCACTCACTTTGGACCTAACCGAACCTAACCGTGTAATACTCACATTATGTTGATACTCTTATGTAAACGTCATTTCAAATAAATTAACAGATTGAAAATGAAAGCAAGTGCTTCACGTTACTTTTGAGGTATAGGTACGTAAGCATAGTATGAAGAAGCATATCTCAAAGGTGCCAAATTACCAAACTCTCAAGCACGGCACTTTACTCGATGCCATTGTTATATTTCTTTTATGAATACTAACATTTTGTACAATATTTTGTGTAACGATAAATAATTGCGGTCTGAAATAAATAAGTCGATAGGCATGAAGGATTTGTGAATAGATCGAAAGAACTTGACAGAGTTTGTGTCTGAAAGTTACTTCTTTGCATAATCTACACATCTTTGTACAGAGTTAATTTTTGAAATTGAGTACTTCCTTTTTCTCTTTGGAAGATTCAAACATTTTCTGTATCAAAACGAGGAAGTAGAAGGCCAAAAACTGTCTCACTCAAGAATACCTAATGAATTTTGCAAATGACAATGGATTCGCGAAGACTTTTCGAACACAATACAATAAATGATATTCGAAACAATCACTGTTTACAGCTATTTCGTGTGAATGACATTCAGCAAACCTGACACCTAACCTCTGGAATCCGTTTTTATCTGAGTTTGATCAAAGTATTGCAAAAAGTTTCTCATTTCGAAAAAGAATCATCTCAGTTCCAATAATTCATCTCAAATTAAGCAACGATATTCAAAAACACAATTGGAAGAAATGAAACACTAAAATTGTTTTGTTCCAAAGAGCTCTCATTACATTTCATCATGTTCAATCTTAATTTTTTTCTGTATTGAACTCAATAAATCCATATTTTATGAAATCATTACTGATAAATATATTTTCGAAACTTATATACTTACAATGTCCAAGGTATTGTATTTGTCTACGATAATTATCTATTCTTCCCTCTTGGTCCATGATATTGTTCAGCATTTCCAATTTTCTTTGTAAATCCATGGCCTCGATATTTTCTGGATCTACAAATTCAAATAATATTCTGTTATAATCTGACTTCCAATTCAAAGGGTGCATCCTGCATCACACAACAAATATCAGATTTTTAATCTAGAGGTGAAACAGTATATACGCATAATATATGCTGACTAGGGATGGCGAATATTTCGACAGGTATATGGAATATTATCTTGAATATCATTTTATGTTCTGAGAGTTACCAAAATAAAACTTTTTGGTTAGATTCTTGATGTGTGAAATGATTGTTTAATACGCTTTCTTCTGTCAGATAATGAAGGTCTTACAAATTATAGAAATAATCTCGAGGAAATCTCGAGGAAAAGTAAAATCGCATGTGAAGGGTTCTATCCTCATTTATTATCTTATTGAAGATATCCACATTTTTTCCAAGAGAGGCTGTTATGGAAATCATAATTATATGGTGTAAAAGGAGTTGCCTTCGAACTGATAATTTGGAAAATATCAAATACTCCGTCCCAGTTGATAACAATTAAAAGATCGTTCCTCAGGGTTCAGTACTGGGACCTATATTGGGACTTTACAAAACATATAAAGCAACATCGATGAAATTCACAATTAGTAACTCGTAGTAACTAGTAATTGTTATTTACGAACCCGATAATCGTCGAATGAAATCCGGTGCATCTTTTAAAATGTTTAGACCTATAAATTTGCAAAGACTCCTCAAATAAGAAACAAATTCTGTAGTAGATTAGAAGAAAACTGATACTATGAGAGGTTCATGACACATTTCTGTAGTATTGGATGGAAACATAAATATAGCTATTTATTTTGTTTTGATTTCTGAATTAACGTGTTAGGAATCACACGTTGAAAGGTAAGACCTCATTAGTCCTTAACTCGCACAAGTTTCTCAACTTCTGAGAGTTGTCGTTCGTATGGGAGCGACANGGGTGATGACTTTATTTTTATTTATTCAATTGTTCTATTTTTACTCATATTTTATTTCACTATTATTTCATTTCAGGTTTATTTTGGTTAATATAACTATTATTTTCAGCTATCTCATTTTTAATTCTTCTTTTTTAGTTGTTTCAGGGATTTCAAATCATTTTATGTGTAAATATTTCCTGATTTGAAATAATGATAAAATTTACGTAGTAAATCAATAGTTAGTCCGATTAAGCCGTTGTTTTCAATGAAACAAAAACAAAATTATCTTTTCAATCTAGTGTTTTCCCTTTTTGAATGCCTTCCTTTGGAGCAATTACTTACTTCATCGAAACATAATTCTAACTTATAAATACTCACCAAATGGTAATTCGAATCGACAGTCAACAAGGAGGTTATGACCAGTTGCCATTTTCGTACCTACTACTTCTCCATCTCTCATAACCAGCTCAGCATCCAGAGACCTCCATTGACCATTTCCTTCCTACATAAAAAAATTCAAATTGTGATCTGATTATTCGCTGCTATTATTATATAATCCCAAGTATATTCGTACATTCGATTAGTACACGGTTATAATAAATTTTTGAACAGGTTGTGAATCGAAGTCGGGAAAATTCTCAATTTCACATGTTCAGAAACAAAATGGAATACGAAAGTTGGTTGCTTGCACTTGAGGAAAATGACAAACAAGACATTGAATATTGTTTCCAAAGAAACAATATTTCTCTTCTGAACCACCTGATATTAACCCAAATAACCTTTTATATTTTAAAATAACTCTCTGCAGAGAAATCAATCGAGTTGAAGTATATATTAAATTTGAAAAAAACACACGTTTATCAAAAACCCTTCATGTTGTTAGTTATTTTTACACGCATCATATTAGCTTCACCTGTATGTATGTATGTTTGTTTGTAACTCTCAAACTCGGGATTTGTATTGACAGAATTATCGGCATTATTTACGATGTAATAATAAATATTCGATAAAATGTTTCGTGTCAACATGGCCACTATCAGCTTTTTTTTAAATACGAACCTGTCTTTTTTATTACAGATATTGATGAAGCGATAAATTCACAATCCAGGAGTATATCACATTTGCTATTTTTGTAGTGTTTCATTTGAAATAAGCACCATCATCAGTGACAACAATCATACAGAAAAACAATTTATTTCATCATGAACTTTTGGGAAAAATAAAACTAATACGGAAAATCAAAGCTACATGGCAATCTACATTAAATGCTCGAATTACGACCTCTTTGTTGAATGCATATAAGTTGTCGGTCCAGACGATTTATGTGGAAATTTACTAGCATAATAGGTTTAATACTAATACATGCATCTTTTATTTTTCGTTTGAGATGGTCGCTACCTATACTTGATGTTGAAAAAACTTCATCCTTTATGTATCCCCAGACAAAAAATCTAAAGGAGTAAGATCTGGGGATCGAGCTGGCCAATTGATTGGTCCATTGTTTCCAATACATTTTCTTGGGAATATTGCATCTAAATATTCCCTTACTATTGCTGTATTATAGGGAGAAGCGATGTCCTATTGAAAATATTGTATTTCATGGCGGATATTCAGTGGCAATTCATCTAAGTAGCCATCGAATTCGTTTAATGAAAAATTAAGATACGTTTCACTATTTAAATGATCATCATAAAAAAAAGTGTCAAGGATGTTTGTTCCCACAATGCTCAACCAAACTTTATTCCGAACCTTTCTTGGAAATTGGTTTCCCTATGTAAATGTTCATTTTTATTATTCCACCTCTGATGGATATTTCTGTTCAACCAACCATTGTTGGTGAATTTTGATTCGTCCGTCCACATTATTTTTTTACAAATATTTCCAACTTCCCTATTTCTACGTCTAAACCACTTCGCAAATCATACTCTCCTTCCGCAATCCCTTTTCATCGCGGTAATGAACTTTGCGTATCCTGTAGCATTTATATTTGTTCTTTTTCAAAATAGTTCTGGTGGATTTTACAGAAATCTCCATTTCGTGCGCAATTTCTCGTAAAGAACAATCTTGATTAGCAAAATTTTTTTAACTGGCCAATTCTAAATTAACAAAAAAGTTGTTTTCACTGTGTAGATTTTTATGTGCTAATATTTGCTCACCCATCACATTTATTTAATTCCTCCCACTTCCAGTAACCACACATTTTCTTGTTTTCCTTCTGTCAAACGCTCCATAGTCTCTCAAATTTCTTTCTAATCGTCTAAACATTCGGGTATAGCTTAACATACGTATTCCTTGCCAAAAGAGGATTTCTATTTGATTTTTCATAACTAAATAGCATATCAGTCTTTTCATCATTTGAATACATCTTTGGTATATTCATGAACGTCTGACAGTTCTCAGCAGAAATCAACAACGCATTCATTTTTCCTGCCACAGAAACCAAGCAAAGCCTACGCGTTTAAGATGGTAAATGAATTGAGATGCTATTTGATCATACCAAATTATACAACAATCAAATTTTGACCAAAAACTGATATTTTCGTTACTTCCAGGATTGAGAATTATAAAAATATTACGAATTATAATTGATTAGGGAGAAATAAGCCTTGAAAGGAGGATTACGGCAATACAAAAATTTCCAAAACAAAAAAAGTACGAATTTTCATTGTATTAGGGTACCTACCTGTCGAATTAATTGGGTTGTCTGAATTATATTTTGAAGAAATCAAAACAATTTACAAAAGAGGTAACGACAGGACCGTAATTTGAAATTGTTGTCACCGATGATGATAGTTATTTCAAATGAAACGCTATAAAAATGTCAAATGTAATATACCCTTGGATTGTGAATTTATTGCTTCTTCAATATCTGTAATAAAAAAGTCAGGTCCGTATTTAAAAAAAAAATCACGGTAGCCATGTTGACACGAAACGATTTATCGAGAGTCCCCGTAAATTTTCTTCAACCATTGTATTGTTCCCGATGGCAGTTACCTTTTTTTCTATTAAATCGTCTTCGTATGTGTTACAGTTTAGAATTTAGTAATATTACCAAATGAAAAAACGGCCAATATAAAAAACACTGTTAGTTCTCAAATCAGCCAGGTGATTAAGTAGATTTTCCTGAAAACCCCAACTCGAATGACAATTCATTACCTGAATATCTGTAAATTCAAAGACGCTAACTTGGTTAGTGAAACGCGTGTCAATAACAGTGGTGCACTTCTGGTGTTTGAAAACCATGCTTGTTTTAGATTTATTGTACACCAGAAGTTCCAGTTCCACCTTTAACCACTATATGAAGTTTTCCCATATTCAATAAACTCAAACTAGTGTTTAGTCGATTTCCAGGAATAGCAGTAATCAATTTCTTGCTCAGATCCTTATTAGAAATTAGTTAATCATATATTATCCGATAATTCTAGACGGAAATCTGCGGCTTGCCTAAAGCACGTGAAAATCCTTTTGCGAGTCCGGGAGATCAAAGCAACCAATTACCTGATTTGTAAGCATGGAAGCTGAATAAATGGTTCGTTGATGATTCACATGTAACCTCGGAAGAGATAACAGAAATGGAAATAAACAATATGATTAATTAGATCCTTCCTGCGGATATACTAACTGAAAAGGAGGTTGTGTTCATGAAACTGACAAAGTCAGAATAACAGAGGATTTATGAAATGGGGCTGATTATTTCTCAATGAGAACAGTTCGATATGAAATCTCCACAATATGATGGGGTGATCTAGATCAAAACACTAAATATTTTCTTTAATACGTAGGATTATCTATATGAAATGAGTGACTTGTAGAATTAGTAACACAGATCCCATTATATTTTTTATTACAATGCGAATATATCTTAATAATGATAACACGAGACAAAGTACGATCAATGCTATGATAAAGGACTCAATCATCTATAACGAGGAAAATATATAATCATCTACCCACCAAATTGAGAAAAAACTTTTGCTTTAGAACTAGTCATATGATCTCAGCACATAATTCTGCACTAACTGTCAATACTTCTAATGCAGATAATACGCAGTCTTTGACTAAGTTGTCCCAAGCATCAGGAGTGAGTCGTACAAACGTTTTTAGTATTCTTCTTCGACAAAAGAGTTGAGTTTTGTAAGTTTTTTTTTTTGGAACGCATCAGCTATAATCCAGCTTTGTTAAACTTCCGACAACTGAAGTGGTTCATATAACATGCCAAATTCACATCCAATATGCCCAAAAACTGAGTGTTTTGAAAGAAATTTTCATAGCCTAATCCAGAACTATTCTCTTCGGAACAAAATGGTGAAGAATTTTTCAATTTGCTGGATAACCAGCTTATGCCAAGTATTAACAACGTCATCCAGTTACATCTTCTATTGTGAAACGGGGTACTTTTTCAACAGCATACAATCTATCCCCGTTGCATAACACCAGGGCAACAACTCCTAGATGATAATTTCCCGAGTAGATGGCTCGGAAAGCATGATTTCACTGTTTTCAAGCCATATGTGAACCAAGAGCTATCTGTTCTTAATATTTCTTACTACCGCAGAATACAACTTATCTATTCGAAAACAGTTCTACGTAAGGCACTTCGTAGTTGACATTTGAAGACATTAAGCCAGATGTCATTTCCCGAATGCTGCGATGTTTACTTTCATTTTTTAGTTTTTTTAAACTATATTTATTGTAACATAGCTTTCAATAATGTCCACAACTTTTCTTCGAAATACTTCTTTCTATTCTAAATAAGTAAGACACTATTGTCTACCCACACATCGTTGATGCACCCTGTATAGTTCATTAACGTTTTATGTAAATTGATTGAATTATGACGAGGGTACCTATGCAAAGTTATAAAAGTTAACAAGTGGAAATATTTCATATAATATGAAGAAATAATGAAGTAACAAATAGTTTTAAATGATTTTTTCAGGATAAACTAATTTATACTGGCTCTTAGGACGCCACTGCTCTAAAGCGAATGATTTATTGGAAAATCTTGAATCATAATAGAGCATATCACTGACCTATTTCGAAAGGTCAATTTCTCGGTGTGAATAGACTAGTTTAGCATATAAGAATAGAAAGACGATTCGCCTGCTGCATTGAATTCGATATCAGCCACTTTTCATCGCCGAGGAAACTCATTGTTTGGAGTACAATTCAATTCAAATCTTTGATCAGCTGAATCGTAGTGAAAGCTTTTCAATTCCCGGTGGTATTATTCAATCCCGGAAGAAAAAAATTTTAATATGAGTTTTCATCAATTCAAAATTAAACCAATTCATGAATTCCTTTCTTCATAATTTTCTCTTTTGAAATTACTTCTTTCAATTTTTAGATAAGTGTATTTTCACAGCTGAACCGTTATTCAAAGAAATTTTAATACGGCGATCGTAAAGAAATGCCATTGTTTGTTCTATGTTGTTTCTATGGTATTTTCAGGCTGCATTTCCTATATCCACAATAAACAAAAGATACCAAGAGCAAAACAATAGAATCACCCTTTCCACTTTACTAAAGAATAAAATTGATGATCTCAAGCACTTGAATCACTTGAGGAAAAAAACGCTGAAAATAGTAATATCGGTTACAGCATAACCAAGAAGAGTGTTGAAAATTAAATACGTCAGGAAAAACAAATGATTTCATGAAGAAGGTTCAGGATTCTAGCAATGAAACCAAAACTCTCTGGAGTATAAAACAACCACAAAAAAATTAATATAAATATACATACAGGGTGATTCAAAAGTACTTTGACAAACTTCAGGAGGTGATTCCTCAC